CAGGAAAGACCTAAGTTTCTAAAGCTAATTTGGTAAATTCGGAAGTTTTTGCAGATCCAGAAACTGTAGAAGAAGCTTTATCCAGACCAGATGCAGATAAATGGAAAGCAGCTATGGAATAAGACTACAATTCATTAATGAAGAATAGTACATGGGAGTTAACAGAGTTGCCAGAAAATGGAAAAGCCATTGGTTACAAATGGGTATTCCGAATAAAGTGAAAGGCACAGTCGATTGGTAAAAAGCCAGACTCGGCGCCAAAGGATGCTCTCAAATGGAATTGATTATACGGAAACCTTTTCACCCCACCACAACTCTGTACAAACATTGCTCGCTTTAGCTAACGAATATGAACTCAAAATACATCAAATGGATGTCCAAACAGCTTATCTGAAGAGAAAATTTTATGAAGATATCTTCATGTCTCAACCAGACGGTTTCGTAACTTTCCAAGGCAAAGTTTGCAAGCTGAAAAAGTCAATCTATGGACTTAAGCAAGCGGGATGAATGTGGAATCTGAAATTAGATGATACTTTGCGAAAACTGAAATTCAAAAAGTTAACGTCAGATAACTGCATATATGTTCAAAAAGGAACAGATTACTGTATCATTAATTACTAGTTATGTAGATGATTTGATAATTCTGACTAAAAATGAATCTTCCATGATACACATTAAGAAAACCCTCAGCAAAAGTTTTCAAATGAGGGATTTGGGTAAAATAAAACAGTGTTTAGGAATTAACATCGGGCATAATGAAAATGTATCACTTAGAAATACATAAAAGAACTCTTGGCTAAATACGGTATGCAAGAATGTAATCCTATATCAACATCATTAGATCCCAACATTAAACTATGCAATTTTTCAAACGTCGCCAAAGAAAATGAAAGTGCAGAAAAAATTAATTATTAATCATTAATTGGATTCTTAATTTACTTAGCTGTATCTACACGACCTGACACTGCAAATTCTGCTAGTAGACTTAGTTAATTTAACAGTAACCCGGAATATTTTCACTAGATTCAAGCAAAACACGTACTACAATACCTTAAATCTACGATAAATGTGAAGATAATTTATCGTAAAACAAATGAAAATCTTAAATGTTATGTACACGCAGACTGGGATGAAAATTCTCTCGACAGGAAATCATTTAGTGGTTCTAGTTTCATATTGGCAGGAAGCCCGATTTTTTGGGAATCGCACAAGCAAAGAATTGTAGTGCTATCAAGCACTGAAGCAGAATACACAGCGTTAACTGAAGCTTCAAAAGAAGTGATGCACTTTTTTCTCCCTGCTATGCCTATTTGATGATGTTTGCTGATGTGGCCAGCTGCTGCGATTCTCTCAAGCATGGTGCAGAAACACGATGCAAGGAGCCCTACTAAGGAACAGTTCAGTGGAAACAAGAATCTACTCAAACATTCTCGATTATCTACCTACATCGCCAAATACCTGCCCATATGAAAAGGACTGTTAAACAGGATCAAGTCACATTGTACCATTCTAGTACCTCGTTATCTATTGTATCAGTTCATTAATGTGTTGCAGTCCGACATGTATGTTCATCTATGTTGTTAAATCTTAAGGATAGAAGACACTGATTAAATTTTATGTTTAATATTTCAACTTGGTGCAGTTTGATACTTCTGTAGCAGGGAACCTTGGTTCACACCCACCACTACGCATAATTCTCAAGATTCTTCAACGAACACCAAAATCTTCAAATGCAACATCAAATAGGGTTTTTGATTAATGTTTGGTGCGAAATTTATAACAACAGACTAATCGGCTCAATATTTTACCAACGTACATTAATGGCCACACAATAACTTCTGGAAGACATAATACCAGAAATTTTTTTTTAACACGCCATTTCTTCAACTCCCGAATGGATGGTTCCAACACGATGTCACAAGCAAAGTAGTACCCGGTGGAGGAATTCGAAGAAAGAATAATCAGGTACAGTGGTTTGAAAGAGTAGCCTCCACATTCACCTGACCTGAATCCAACGAACTTTTCCTGTACGGATACCTCAAACAGCAGGTGTATGCGACCCCCTCCACAAACACTGCTTGACCTTCAACGACGTATTACAGATGCTTGTGCAAACGTGTCACTCGTTATACTAAAACGTTCAACATGAAGTTCTAACAAGGGTCCACATGTGCATTTCAGCTGATGGAAAGAAGTTTAAAACATCGAAAATAGAGGTAGCTTGTGATAACTAGTCGTTGTTTTCATTCTAAGATCATTTTGTGAAATAACAGTTTCAGAAATTGCAAACAAACAAATGCGCATTTAAAACATTCTGCTCTAAACATTCATGTCTTTGGGGTCTCTTTTCGTACTAAATCAATGATGCTCTAGAACTTTGTAATTCACTTTTTCTACTTATCTTGTATCGATTTCAAGATAGAAATGCTAACTCCACTGTTTTCCACCAGGTGACGCTGAAAGCTATCTCATCTAGTAGCGCGTAGCCACTTTACTATACCTGGACACAACTTTTATGACTATAGATGCAGCCGTTCAGCAGTTAAACAGGTGGTACTGGAATTTAATGGGCACACATATATATGACCTTGTCATTCAGAGGGTTAGCACAAGCCTTCCCAGTTTCCAGACATTTTAATGAAATCCCTCTTCTTACTTTTTGAAAGTTCAAACTTTTTTGAAACAGAAAACAATGACTGAAAAAATTGGGCAGCCAAATCTGATTCAAATCTCATATTGGAAAAGCTTGTGCATGCATAGCAAAATTCTTCTCCCAGAGATTGCCTTAAAAAAATACTGGTTGAAGGAATGGAAAAGTAAGAATTCATGTTGTGATATGTGTGTTCGGTTTGGGAGAGGTCTTATTAATATCAAAAGCTTGCATTTATTTCTGAGATATTTAATTTTTTGTAAAATTTTGCTGTCATATATTCCTTTAGTTCTATGTTTCAGGTCATACACAGTAATTTTTTAATTTTCAATTCATATTTGTGCATTATCTTGTGATTTAAAATATTCACCCAATTTATTCAATGATTTTTGAGAAATCCGCATTTCTGAGCATTTAAATAGAATTTTGGAATTCACTGCAGTAGTACAGTGTAATAACCATGTAGCTTATGAGTTAAACTTATTAAAGTTATTTAATTTTATCCCACATTTTAGACATGTAGAATATATTGTATTTCTTTGTTATAACGGCTCCCACTCATACTTAAGGATTATAGATTAGCACCAAGATCTCAGCTATAATTTCACCAAGCTTGTGAAGCGTGAATGTAAAAATAAACACAGTATGTAATAATAATAACAATATTCACATATTGTTTCCTAAGAATATTTTTAAGAATCCTTACCCTTATTATTATTATTTTGTAATGTACTTGTTCTAGTCAACTGCAACAATCAATCACATGTAATTGTTCTAGTCAACTACAACAATGGATCACATGTAATTGTTCTAGTCAACTGCAACAATGGATCTTATGTAATTGTTCTAGTCAACTGCAACATTTTCACATATATTAATCGTTTCACAGTGTTTGTTACACCATGTCATGGATGTCAAGTCCTCTGCTCAAGAATATATAAATCTGATATCAGTGACAAATGATACTCTGGAAACGTTGAACTGATTTCCACCCAGCAGCCCCTTCATTTTGCAATTTTTAACACTGTATCTCAAAAATGGTTTCATCATTAACATAAAGTATCATGTTGTGGCCATTTTCGCATACTTGTTTGTCATGCAAAAGACCTCTTTTTTGAAAAATAATATGGCATCCACCTAATTACTTGGTAAATTGATTAACTTCATACACACACACACAAAAAAAAAAAAAAAAAAGCAATGAATATATTTTTAAATAAAGAATGAGAATTCGAAAACCTCAACAAAAATGAATAATATAAGAGCATGTGGTGAAAGTGAAAATGCAACAGAGTGCTAATATACGATTATGTGGCAAAGTATAAAAACATGCAGTCAGTGCTGATACACAACCACAAGGTGAGGTATAAGAACAAACAGCAAGATTTCGGCGAGATATCTCGATCGATTGGCGATTCAGTTTCGGGCGGGGGGGGGGGACGGCTTCACATCAAAGAATTACCAAATCTATTTATGCCATATATTAATTTTCTAAATATCACATTTCATCATGTATTCCTCTCCTTTGTTTTTAGTGCCATGCTCAGACAATTTAAAAATAGATATGTAATTTTCCCCTTCCTTAATATGTTCAGAAAATGTGCTCCCATAAAATTGTCAAATAGATTCATCCAATGTAAACAAACACAGACCCTTGCAAACTATACGGAAGATCACGACAAACCCTTTCCTTCTAACAGTTGAACTTTCAGACTAGCCTAATACAAAAACAAACTAATCACAGCAAGACAAATACAAACTGATATTCAGTCTACAAATTCACCTAGTCTAATTACTTATGGATTATTTGAGGCCTAGAATAGCAAAGACAACAATAGAAATAAACAAAATTCAAGTTACAGGGAAACAGAAATGAAGATATCTTATTAGATACTGTAATGTTAATAGTACTACGTATTCTTATTGAAATGTAGGTTGCTTTTAAAGAAATGGTATTGGAATAGCTACCTACAGTTTAACCATGACTGCTTTTCAATTGTTATATTCTTACCATAACCGCATCCTTCAGAAATTAAACTATTCTCATAATTTTCCCTTCTTCATTTTCAGTCATTAAAATTAGTAAAAACAAAGGTAGGAAGGTACTCTTCTTTTATCAGCACCAGATTCAGAAATGTATATATGTACGCATGTGTATATGTATGTATGTGCATATATGTGTGTGTGTACACATACATATGTGCACATGAACACATGCATACATTTCTGAATCTGGTCCTGGTAACAGAAGAGTACCACGAGCAATTACAGTACTCCATCATCTAATTAATATGAAGGAAATAAAAAACTTATATAAGAACAAAATATTTTTAATATACTATTTTTTTACCTATATGAATGCGTAATAATTCCATTGTCATCCAAGGATGTTGATGTGAAACACAATCCATCAGTCTCACAAGTGTAATTAGGCTTCCCACATATGTCACAATGACACTTCAATGCTATGAAAAGAAGAAAGTATTTCAAATTATATATAATATTGTAAGAACTAAACTAAAAACCACATATGTGAGAGATGAAGGATACTTGATCTCTGAGCAAAGAGTAAATGAAAACTAATTAGCAGAGTTTTGAAATCTCATATCAAACATAATATTATGCCTTTCTACAAAAACTGTAAGTACACAATCATTTTTGCCAGTTTTGTTTTAGCACAAGAAGTAATTTCCTAAATGTTACAAGTTCAACTTTTTTAAAAATACATATACTGACTGCATCATTTTCCACTGTATGCAATGTAAGAAATTTTATCCTCTCTCATTTTAAGGCTTTTGCTGTACTAATAAAATTTCTAGAATAAATTAGCTTTGTTAGCTTGCTTTGAATCCATATCAAAGAAATTAATCGATATTTTAAAAGCTAACACTTGTTCCCAAAAATGTTTGAAAATTTAAAAAAAATAAGCTTTGGGTTTTTATTTAGTTAGTGCTCTATTAGTTCTCTGAAATTTATTTTGCACTCTAATACACATATACTACTTACATTTAACATACATACTACATTTTAATTTACTTATATTTATTATTCCTACTATTTATATGAAATGTATATAAGATGACATGGTACTTTTCCATTAAAACTGTACTATGGATTTTCAGCAACACATTGGCATATTTTGGTTTATTTCTTTCCCCACATCTCTGCTTTAGTACCAGATGAAACAGAATGACTGGAAAGAGCAACAAGGAACATTCTTTAATTTCATGACAAATCCTCCAAAAATCCATTGTAGCAGAAAGAACAAAGACTATACAGTCAAACGTCTTTAATCCAGAATGATCTATAATCCGGACCTCAAAACTACAAACTTTCCGATCATGCGTCAACGCATGTGCATAATACCTTTACACATACGCATAATACGTTTACGGTAAAAGCATAGTTTAGGGTACCCCTTGGCGAAACTTGGCAATTTTTAGCGGTACATGGATTTTGTGCAATTCTTTGACTCATTATTTTGGCTTGCGAAGCGGCGATATTTGCGCCAAAATTCACCGCTACACAAAGCCAAAATAACAAGACAAACAATTGCACAAACTCGGTATCCATGTGCACATCGACTTATTTTCACTTAAAACAAACCCCCCGAATTGCACAAAAATGGCATTGAGCACTCCTTTGATTTTATCCATGTACACGTCGACCTATTTTCACTTAAAAAAATCCCCCGAATTGCACAAAAATGGCATTGCACACTCTTTTAACTTTATCCATGTATATGCCGACCTATTTTTCACTTAAAAAAAATCCCAGAATTGCACAAACTTGCATTGCGCACTCCCTTTACTTTGTCCATGTACCCATCAATATATTTTCACTTAAAAAGTCAAAGGAACACCAAATTCTACAATACATGCAAACAAAAAAATACATAATCTCAATAAAATACATTTTGAACCAAACAATAATATAACATAAAAAAAGGAAAAACATGTTATACATTTAAGCACTACCAAAAGCAAATATTCACTTACCATGATTTTCGAGTTCGCTTCGTACACCAAGAGCCACGTAAAAATCAAAATATCAATCATACTCAAATGACTTTTTTCCAACCAGGTACTCCTTCTGATCGAACACTTCACATAGTGACCATCTGAACCTTTCTTCCTACAAACCCATTCAAATCCATCTAAACGGTTTTAACACACACCACAAAAACGCTTACAAAACATCCCATGATTCAAAATTTCCCAGAATCATGCACCTGATTACATCACAATAGGGTTTCCATAACATTAAACTACTCAGGCTACCATAAACAAAAACAAATTGGCGATAAATTAAACAACAACTTCGCCATAATATCCGGGGTACCTTAAAGTCTTCCCTACCCTAAGTTTACGCATGCGCGTTTAATTTATAACGGATGGTATAAGCTAAGCGAAAATTATCTAATTATCTATTTCAGTTAATGTTGCAGATTTTGTTGTTCCTTAATCTTCTAATTGGATCCAGCTTATTATTTTTTGCAGACTGTTAGAGAAATTTTGTAAAAGTAAGCTTGAACTTTCGATTATGTCAAAAAGAATTTCCGATTCTGGAGCTACCAAAGGAGACAAAGCGAAAGCATGTTTCAATGTCCATCAAACAAAAAGTGGAATTGCTGCAAAAAAATGGATAAAGGCATACCCTTTGATTCTCTAATCATTCCGAAATATGTTTATCGATTTCACGCGGCTCTGCTGGGAGGGGGAACGACGCGGCGCTCAATAAACTGGAAGTTGATCTGTCAGCACTATCCTTATCTTCATGGCAGATGTTTTTATTTTATTTGGCTTATAATTCCTTACTAAACGTAGTATTTCATCTTGATGTACTCTGTCTTTGATATGATTTAAATCAAATTAACCATCATTATAAATATCACGAATACACATCAAATAGTTTTCTGGTTGCAATTTTCTAATTTCGACTATGCGTAATGTATGCTTTACACATGCGCGCATTGAAAGAAATGTTTAATAAAGTAAACAAATAAATATAAAGCCTTTTCTTTGTAAATTTTGATACCCTTTAGATCAAATGCTCTTTATTTCATAAATTACGGTTTCATATTTTTAATTTTATAATTTCTGCATGCCATCTTACCAGATTTAAACTGATGATCCAGAATCTGGAAAAACTGATAATCCGGAATCGCTGAAGTCCCGACGAGTCCGGATTAAAGACTTTTGACTGTATTATTTTTTTCTTTTCATAAATAAGTTTTCATCAATTTCCACATTTTTGTTGTGTCCATGGTTTTTAATGTGAAGATATCAAAAAATTGGTATAGCCCCCTTACATAATTATTTCAGTTAACTACTGCATTGTGATTCATTTGAAGCGAGCTTTGATTCGCACTGTCAATAGACCTTCAGCTACCGATACCTTGAGTCATAAAACAGTTATGAAAGAATGTCTGATCACACAAACCACATTTTTGTTCAGACACCTTTTCTTTTCCAGCATGAGCAAAGGATGCATATGGCTATTTCAATTTTAACCCGGTGCTAATGAAACATGTAAAAACAAAAAAGTGGCTTTGATGGAAAAGTATCAAAGTCTTAAGGACCTAAAAATTTAAATGTCCGCTGCAAAGAACTTTATTTATAACGTAATTACTTATTTTCACTATCCTAGTATAGAAAGAACATTAGTGTCCAATTATTTTCGTGACATATCAAATATATTTATTTCCCAATAAAAACTTGTATATGCTTGGGAGTAGTTTGTTTAGTTGGGAACAATACTGTTCTGAAATGCCCAGCTGCGGTAAGATAGCTTCCCCCCAAAAGTGATTTTCGGGATCAGATAGTGGCAAACAAAGGCAAAGTTGTCAGATTTCATGCGAAATTACACATTTGGCAGCAAAATTGGTGATATTTCCCAGAAGGAGCGAGAACATTCTAGAACAAATTCTTAACAGTCTTCTCGAGAATCTTCTAGAAGGCAGGTCAAAAGCTATATATACACCCTGCCTGTATGCAGAGTAGAGGAGTATCTAGAGTATCTTGAGTTCAGTAGTAGAGTCTTGAGTTCAGAGATTAGCTCAGTAGTGATCGACCGAGTCGGACGCTCTACTTTAGTGCTTTTGTTATGGTGAAAAATCAAATGGCACCAATAAGTTATAGAAAAAAAATCATGGTACCATATAATTGTTATAGAAAAATCATTGGTTTCCTACTCTGTTGACATAACACTTAAAATTTTAACATAAATATATTAATATCAATAAGCCCTGTACATTTGCGTTGTGTTTTCGGATTAACCCTGAAATCAACTTGAGAATGAGAAGGGTGAAAATCATGAGCACACACACAAAAATTTAACCTTTGAATGATCTAGAAAAATTATTTATTTAACTATTAATGCCAATATAAATATATATATATATCCATTAGTCAAAAAAAAATATCAAAATATATTCAACAAAATTTGAACTATTGTTTTACACATTTTAATCCTGTAATTACTATTAAATTTAATATTGCAAATCTGGTAAAACATACCAAAATAACTATAAATTTAAGAAACACTACCCTCCCGGGGGAAAAAAAATAAAAAAAAAAAATTTAACAAGCTACACTTTCTACTTCACACAGAATTTCATCAATACAACAAAAAATATGCTTAATATTGCACTCAATATAATCATTAAATACTATTATTGCACATAACAATTTTATTATTTAATTTTTTTTTAGATTAATTAAATATGGTTTAACGGATAAGATAAGGAAGTGACTCATTTACTATCTACAAACAAGTTCGTCCTTGAAACAAGAAAGCTCTAAACAAGCCACTATTCAAATCTCCTCACCATGAGTAATTCAAAAAAAAAAAAAAAATATTAAGGTAATATTCCCTGAAGAACTAATTTTCTTAACTTAAGTTAAGTTACAATAATTTTAATAGGTTATAAATCTTTTTCCATTTAAAGCTTTCCTTGATTGATACACAGGAAAAAAAGATTCTATAGAGTTAGGATAAAAATCAACTACAAAAAAAATTTTAGGGTTCAAAAATTAACAAATTAAGTTAATTCAATCATTTTAACTGCAGGAATCTATATATTTAATAACCAAGAATTAACCAAAGAGAAAAAGGGACTTATCTGTAAGGATCATCAAACAAAAGAAATCCATCGAGCTCATGAGGAATGCTGGCAGCCTGGTGAATGAAAAAAAAATGTTCGTCGAACGTTTGGATTCAATTACTGTAGCCTGAAGTTAGATTTTAGGGAACAATTGAGTTCCATTACGGCAAGATAAGTGAAATAAGTGCTGGCGGCCTGTGGATGGAAAAAAATGTTCGTAGAACCGTTTGATTCCTTACGGTAGCTTGAATTCTAGTAGAATTAGGATGAGCAATGAGGTTTCCAAAAACAACGGTTGGAATTAAATTGGTCCGTGTTGGTGTGTGTGAACGAAATCATGGTGCGCATCATTTTTCTAGA